CGACTGGTCGCCAGTCGCTAGCGACCGGTCGTGGACTATGAAAGATGCCGTTCACTCGAGTTTTTGGGCCACTATGGTCTTCGGAAAACAAACACGCTGATCCCCTTAGCAATTTAGAAGACGACAACCGGTTGTATGCACATTGAAGTAATTCAACAGGCGACTGACAATCGAATCAAATCGACGTAATTCCTTCAAGCCTCATGGGATTTTTTGAAATCACATAGTTCTACCCTTCAAACAATTGATGTTAACGTTATGTGAAGTACAGCGCGCTGAGAAGGCTTCAGGTCAGCTTTTACTCTGCACTCGACGCGTCATTTTCAGAACAGGCTTTCGGAAAACTAATCTCAATCGAGCACTGTGTCAAACTTGTAAGTCATTCAGTAGCGATTCGAGAGAATAACAAGAACTCCTCTACTTGTTGGCCAAGATGGCCCTGGTGCGATTTCAGCTAGATCAACTCGATGCTGCGCATCGACCACTTTCAAGGGCTAGATAAGTTGGAGCACCACTCAGAGCTGAAGTCTAATAAGTGGAGAGTTACACAATGCTAGTTAGCAAAAAAAGCTCTGTTCCAGTAATTTACTTTGCGGCATTGTTTCACTTTGGTCAGGTACAGAGATAAAGACAAAAAAAGCTTACGTATTACTGGATGATAAGTACATTCTCTTCTCAGACCGAATCGCGGGCGTAGAAGGACACTCTTTTCGTATACAAGAAACTTGGTTCACACATACCAACCGAATCAGTTGTTCTCGACGTTTTGCAACGAGAACCAAGGGTAATGTTCGAGATCTGTGATCACTGGCACTAAACGGGCGATCGTGTTCAAAGGAAGATGTCAATATTGTTCGTTTTCCAGCATTGGAATGAGTCGTCATTAGTTGAAGGTCATAACGGATTTGAGAAAAGAATGATAAAAGTTTTTTGGTGTCGATCAGTCCTGTTGGTGATACGCCCTCTATTTGACTCCCTTTCAGATTCGTAGCGGCACTTGAAATCTTATGTGACCTAAACAGTAATTTGCTTATGTGAGAGCCAGATTTTATCTTTATTATTTATATCCACCTTGAGTTTCTCGGTGCACTATGAACGCTATGTGGCAGAGACCCTCCAGTTTCCTTTTCGATGCTGTCAAATAGAGCTTTCGTTATTTGCAGATCATCCAGGATATTAAATGCTTTCCTTGTTGATGCTAATCCGAAGAAGGCGAATATTCTTTGAGTACGTAACAGTAACCCCAGTCGAACGGTTGTACATACTTTTTAGAAAGTATAGAAGTCGGTTTTTGAACTCATCACACCCTCGCCCACTATAAAATTACCCCTCTCAACGCAGCTCTACCTGTATGACCCATCGACCCTTTGACTACTGTGTTCTCGGGTAAGATCTGGCAACGTCCCTTTCGATCTCTGCTGTGAGTCACAGTAGTTCGTCGGGAGCTCTTTTCTACGAAGAATCAAAGCGCACCCTGTTTTCCGCTTAGAGTCTTCTCGGAGAAGTTTGAATATCGAGCAGAAGGCTGTCTTTATGCTGATTTAGCTCCTGAGGAATCAAGCCCGTGCTTGACCTGACACAAGCGTCGTCGCAAAGACGCACAGTATGTACGGCAACCTAGTTTCCGGATCTTAAGTCTGTGCAGCAGCGCGGCTCATCCTCATTAGTTCTCGTTCAAAACTCCAGATTTCCCTGTGCCCCCATCAGTGAGCGAGAACAAAATGCTTCTTTATGCCCAGCGTTACCAAGAATTCACATGGAGGGTCGAGACAGTCTATGACATCCTATTTGGTGCTGAAATACCGGTCCAATCTGTCTTATCACCCACCAAACGAGCATGTTTGGATACTACCAAAGATAAATAGAGAATCTTCCGTTTGAATTCAATCGTATCTAATTAATAACAAACAGTTGACTTCTCTACTGGTTTGTCTTTTATCTGTTGTCATAATCCCACAACTTGGTATTATTCCATCTACAGCTGACTTCTAGTTCTTGAGTGAGAGGGGCACTGACGGAACGAACTTAGAACGGCTCTAACTCAGCGGGAATGTGTTGATCTAGGAACTATGGTACGCAATGTTCTTAGGATTCTAGAATTCAAAGTTCAAGATTCACTGGAATCGGAAATTGATTCGAATGTTACAGTTCTACTTTGTCTGCGGAAATCGAAGTACTTGCACCGTTGTTCAAATGAACCCACCTGTGAACTTTGACATACATGCAATTTAAATGTAAGTGACAGGTGATTACAGTGTGTAGAGAACAGTCAACAGCGCTGTTGTGCTATCAATCAATGACCATCAACGACAGGATGTACCTTTAACCACCCGCCGTTCCAAAGAAGTCTTGTGGTCTTCATGTGATTCAAGTCACCGAACTCTTACACCCATTTATCTTTTTGGCGTTGCATGTTGTCAAATTGTTCCACTCCTCCGAATCATGGCCTGCTGGGACCTTTTTCATGAAATCAGTTGCTTTTTTTGGTTTCCTTATACTGTATTCTACGGCATTTCTCCATTCTACCTGGAAACCTGGATAATTGCATAAGCAGCCTCAAAACCAGTAGGCAGTTTTTTAGGCGTATAACCAGTATTTTTACTTTGTTTTTGTTGATTGTTTTGAAGTGAACATAAGTCATTCAAAGGGTCAAGCCTAATGTAGCGATATGAAGTCAACAATAACGAATACTTCTGGACGGTAGAAGTAGAACAAATCTGTGGCGTATCTACAATATTTGCGGCGTTCGCGTCATCTAGCATGAACTGATTTTCTGAGAAACGGTATGGTTCTATCAATTCCGAAAGTCTTTAATAGGATGGTTGTTTATTCGTGTTATTTGCATTTCACTCGAATGACCCTTAGTTCTTAGTTTGACCTCCAGCGACGACCGTTTCCTGTAATTTACAAACTGCAACCTTGCTAAGTGGTAGACGAACGAGATTTTCATCTTTATCTCCCGTTCCTGTTCGATACAATGTTCGCTGTTTTCGGTTTCCCCTTTTTTGCAGAGGTAATCTCTATCAGGAAAACAAATGTTATCTCCATTCACTCTCTCTCCTATCTCTAAAGTAGGCTGCTGCCATGTGGTAAACTGACTTTTGCTCATAGTGTTTGGACCAATTATATTCAAAATTACGCCTTACTTCGATACCATTCACTCTTTTCGAAGCGATATTCAAGATTTTCCAAAAAGTCGATGGTAAAGCCGACGTTTTTGTACCAACGTCACCCTCCTGCGCTGTCCACCGCTCAAGATCACAGGTTTGCTTGTCCGACCATACCTAAGAGGGCAGCGAATGCATTCAACCTTCCACGTCCATTTTAAATTGACTGTATGTGAATGAACATCTTATATCTCCAATCCTCCAAGCATTACCACGAGGTCTTCATAGGGAATTCTTTGGACCCAATGTATTAAGATTGTTTGATTCGTCTGTCGCGAACTTTGGATCTTAGTTTTCAGGCTGATTTCTGTGCCGTCTTATTACGATCGTTCTTCGTTTGCTGTCCATTATCATGACCATTTATCGAACTTCATAGTTGAGCTTCCTCTTGTTGTAATCTGGGTTTTAAGCTAAACTCTATGCTGTATATTAAGGGAACAACTCATGACTACTGCGTAATCTTCCTCCTACTTCAGCTCTCATTCCTCTGAATTCAGATGATTTTGTTATATCCACTAACTATGTACATAACTCTATGCAACGCTTACAAAGTTCTTGTCATCAATCCAAAAATGGGCTATAGTCACATGAATTTTATGGGCAGGTTGGCCGATACAATTGCAGAAGCAGGGCATGAAGTGGTGAGTTCAATCAAAATTTCTTTTTCGACAAATTAATCAAAATATTATACTGCTCCACGTTATAGTTTTCCTCAAAGTCACAATTTTTTCTGTGACTTTGTCGCTGGGGAACAGAAAAGAAATCTGAATGAATCAATGTGTTCATATGTTAACAGGATTCTTCAATCGAATACATCCGTCTATGGAAGATCATGTCTCTCAACTTGTCCGTGGTCATTGAGATTTCCAGTTAATTTTTGCCATTCGGATGACCCGTGTCACCTGTTTTTTCGTTGATCATTGATTTCCTCGATACCGGTAACGTCTCCATCCACCTTTGCCGCAGATCAAAGTAGTCCAATGGATCGTCCTTGCTCAAAAGACACGAGGAGTAGCATGCATTCCATTTAGAGGTTCCGTGAACAAGTCTGACCGCTTGCGACCGCTCTGGTACTCGTTTCAAGTTCCGAATGATCCTGGTCCATCGGTCATCACAAGATCTCATGACGTGTTCCCCCTCCCCCCTAACGCCCTTGTTCTTCGGATCTTTGATGTGAGCAACGTTGCTGTTGATCTTCGTCCGTTGATGGAGTTTAGAACTCCGGACTCCTCTATATATGCTAATATCAGAAAATTCCGAACATCGTCCTTCCCACCTATCTGTGTCTTCTATCTGCGTCTCTTGGTCATGGCCGGTTACTTTTATCCACGACTCTTCCCCTACGTGCGGCGTGGAGTCACGCCTTGTATCCTTGTCACCAACCTGGTACAGATCCTCCACTGAAAGAGGAAGTGATCAGGCTCGGAATGATCAAAAACTGGGTGGGTTCAGGGATGACGAATATATCCATGAACCCACCCAGTTTTTGAAAAATCCGAGCCGGATCTATTGGTTAAAGAAGCTATCTGGAAAGGAACTTCGTTCGTTAGCTCCTAAGTGTCATAGCAAGGATCAAAAACTAATCTAAATGGTGTTACGATACTGGACAACCAGATTAATTTTTCTTACTATTACTATTTTATCATCGCTTTGCAACTATAAGGGGTGGTTCTGAACAGAAATCTAGTCTTCCGCAGTACTCAAAATAGTGTAACAAGGCCAAAGGATCTCGAAGAAAATGCTCATTGTCACCGATGGAAAAGATGCCTCAGAAAAGTCTTACACTCTAAGTATATCTTTTGGTATAGCGCGGCTAACTAAAAAGCAAACTATAACAGGTCAGGCTCTGACCCTCTCTATATTTAGGTTACTTTGCAACCTGTAATGGATGGTTCTTTGGCTTCCAATGGTACGACTAAGTCACGCCTCATACAACGTGGTCCGTTCGCTGATATGGCTCGTCCCACCAATAGCGACGACATGAAACTTGTGTGGACATCGGGTGCTAAGAACCCGATTGGTTTAGTTATGGTATGCATGGTATCTGTCGCGATTTCGTAGCTCAGAAACTACGTTTTACTATTTAAGTTTGTTCCAATGATCTCCAATTTTGCGGTGAAGACTTTATCACGTGAGTATGAAATCTCTGACGTTTGATATGATTCTTCCTCTCCAATGACGTTGCAAAAACACTTGTCAGATCTTTTGGATGACAAACCTCTGTTGGAGCAACTGAAAGCAGAACAGTTCGACGTTGCCATTACAGAGCTCTTCGACTTCATTGGAATAGGTTTGATAATTTCTTACCAACCTTCTTTGATTCGGATACGCATGTTCGAGTTAGTGAGTCTAAGTTTGTCAGATCGTTCATCCACGCTTTTGAGATACGTACTGCTCATTTATCCATGCATCCAATTTCTTCACTGTTTAGAATTTTAGAAGAATTCATATGTAGTCATGCAGGGGCTTTTTAAAGAGATCAGTCGAAATTTTCATCGTTTTGTCTTAGTTCTCGGGAAGCCTAACTTTGGGAATTTTGAGCTGATCTCTTTAGTTCGATTCGATATCCACTAGACTGAGCCATAATATAACAATGACCTCAAATTCTAATCCATTCAAAGAAGACTGAAATAACTCTTTTCAATGAAAACAAGTAAAAAACGTTCCAGGAGTTCTCAACGCTGTTGGCGTAAAGAATATCATTGGTGCCCACTCCTCTGTTATCATTGAGGGAACTGCTTTAGCTATAGGCGTTCCTGTGATCCCCAGTTTTATGCCAGGTAAGAAATATTCAATCCTATGCTTGAACCTTTCTGATAAATCTGATAAAACGATGAGGTTTGCTGAGCTTACAAGAGGCAGCGAAATTGATACTTATCAGTGGCGACCATCGGCAGAAACCTGACCTTCGGATTACCCCAGTTATTAGTTTCCTCACTGGAGGGGGGGGGGTCTCTGGAGCTCTCTCTGACTTGACCGCAAGATCTCAACAAATACACAAATACTTTGGGCCCAGGGTGGCAGCAAAATAGCTCCACTCGAGTACAGGTCAGTTTCATCGCTTCTGTTTCGCCGCCCTTGAAATATTGTTTTTGTAGTTTGAAAAGATAACCCAATGAATCACAAATAAACATTCCACTTACAGGATCCGAAGAAGGCGATTTTGCCAAAATGTTATTCGTTAATAAGGTTTGTTACCAATCCCGGAGGCTAACTGAATCAACAACAACTATTACTTGAACCCTGCTGAGATGAATGGAGAGCAGATCACGAAATAGTTTGAAGTCAGTACCAGCCGAATACCTAAGACTCGTGAAGAGAGTCTCTTTCCGGCAGAAAATCGCTGTGGCGAGACAATGCACCCACTTCCTGCAGCGTTATTCCAAACTTCATTGCGAACAAACGGCTACTTGAAGTTTGCGGATACTCCCAAGAATCCCAATAGGTACGAATGATGAAGCGACGAATCCCTAGTATTTAACTTAAGAAGAAACGTGATCATTTGTATTCATGTATTACGAAATGTGTTGGCAAAGAATTATGTTGTAAACGATTCTTGTCGAATAATCTTTGGAGGAGGATAGTGGGTGAGTCGGAGCATATTTGTGATTCTATTCGTTCTGTTACTAGAGTAAGAATACAGAAGAATTTCCGTGGGTTAGTTAATCAGAGGCGATGTAAGGATCCTTCCTATCAGCTGGCCTCTGACCACACGACAGCGACTGCTGCAGCTGGAAAAGTGAGCGATAGTTCTGTGTCTGACTCCACAGTTACTCATTGGAAACGCAGAACTTTCAAACGATGCAGTCGCTCTCTTAGAGTTAGGACCTAGTTAAGACTCTAGCCAATCACTCAGCCATGGTACGCTGCGTAAAATGCTTAGTAGTTTGCAAACTCTTCACGATCGCCTCCGTCACAATGCTAGAATGGACTCGCTTTTCGATAGCGCTCAGCATGCGGAATTCAATATGGCTATTTTCCCGCTTCCTTTCCTCGACATGTATCTCCCACCACAACAGCCTAATGCTGTTGTTGATACGAACTTCCGCCTATTCGCAACAGCACACTTCTCAGATTCTGTCGAAACATAGGCGTACATGTTCCACTCAACCTAAGTGCTGCTCGAAGGTGGGGACTCGAGGAACTTGGAGATTTATCGCAGTCGAGTGTAATAAAAATAAGTGTAAGTGACAAAGGAACGGAGCTTGTGGTGCTCTCGCAGGACTTGGACAGGGCGGTGAGGCGGTTGTACCTCCAGGAGCATTCGACATACAGTCCATCCGCCCCAGAGGAATTCACGAGACAGAATCGGCATTTGAACAAGGTATGGACGGGTGCGGCGAAGTTGGCAAATTTGCCAGAAACTGTGATCGCCAAACTTAAAGGTGACCTACCCGTATGTCCCGTATTGTTAAAACTCATAGCTTCCACAGGGNCATGCTAGCCTGAAATTTGTATGGCCTCACTAATAAGCAGATAATGTTGCTGCTCGACGAGAGCCCAAAGTGCATCTTCTCAACATGGTTAGGTTAATATAAGCAAGCAAGCGGATTAGCTATAGCGCAGAGTTTAGTACCGGCGTTGGCCATAGCATTCATGTACTCAACTAAAACAGAGATGGGATCACATGCCGAGATACCCCCTTTGAATTTCGAAAGACAGGTAGTTCAAAACCGAAGATTACGATCGAAGATGCCAAACTCGGTCCTGTGTGATTTGCCCTTCTGAAAAGGAAGGTGACTATATGTTCTAAGGAGTTGTATATCTCATCACATGCAACTGTGCCGGCAGGAATATGCAGGTAAAATGGGAAAGGGGTAAATATCGAAAAAGGCAACTCTTCGGTGATTACAGGATACAGCGTCATAAAAATGAAGGTGTGACAATCTCTGTTACGAAACTGTCTCGTGAAGATGATATCTTAGCGCGCAAGGCTCTGGGTACTGTGGATCGATCGCGGCAAAGGACCCGAAAATTAACAGGAGGGGCGAGTGCGTGGCGAGCACCAGGGAGTTCGCGACTTTCGCAGACTTGTGTGGCTTTGATCTGCATGGTCGGTTCCCTCGCAAGGCGCCGGCGCAAGTGCTGACAGGCAAGAACGCCCAAA